GGGCGGGGTTGGGGGGAGGGATCCGGCCCCGGGGTGGGGGGCGTGGGGCAGGGCTCAGGCCCCCGAGCAGGGGCAGTGTGCGGTGGGCACTGCTGAGCGCGGCCGTCTCGCCCGGCAGGCGTCGGGGAACAAGGTGAGCCGGCAGTCCGTGCTGTGCGGGAGCCAGAACATCGTGCTGAACGGGAAGGTGGGTAGCGCCGCGGCCGGGCATCTCCTACCTCTCTGGCTGTCTCTTCCCGGCGGCGGTGCCTACTCCCCCTGCGGCACTGGAGCTGGTTGCCCCCGGCCCGGGCGAGCGCCGGCTGCGCGGCTCCTGCACGGTCTGTGGGAGCCGCCGTGGGGCTGGCAGGGAGCTCCAGAGCTCGCAGCGGGTCCAGCCCCCGCCCGAGGCAGGATCGGCCCTGTCCATCCAGCCCAGGCACATCCAGCATCGAAACTCTTCGCAAGACGCCCGTCAGCCCTGGCAGCGCCGGACCTCGCACCCGGACCTGCTGCAGCCTGAGGAGCCGGGACCACCAGCGTCCTGCTCCTATACCCCGTTGTTAACGTGCGCTCGGGAGATCCCAGAGAGAGACCAGGCATGTCTGAGTCCCCGTGTACGGGATCTCTGCACCCACCATGCCGTGTGTGTGCAAGGCGCTTAGTCTTTCTTTGCCTCAGCTTTGCAACCAGTAGAGATGAGAATCGCTCCCTGTGTGCGGGAGTCTTGAGGCTTCATTCATTTGCCTTGATACGTTCATGAAAGAAGCTTTACGCGTGCGCCTGTATTAGCGGTGACAAAGTTGGGTGTTCCCTTGCCTAGAGGGAGCTTGGCAGATCTCAGCTTGGCCCTGTGTAACTTGCACTCGTTTGGGTGTTTCTCTCTCTGTCCCACCCAGACCATAGTCATGAACGACTGCATTATTCGTGGTGATCTGGCCAATGTCCGGGTTGGACGACACTGCGTGGTGAAAAGCCGAAGCGTCATTAGACCGCCCTTCAAGAAGTTCAGCAAGGGGTAAGAGAATCTGCTCCTCCTGCGGGGCGGGTGTCAGACGCCAAGATGAATTTATAAGCGTGGGTCTTGCTGAGGCCTGACTGCAGGGGACCCTGTTTCCCTTGCCACAGCATCGGCATTTTCTCCTCTTCCCATCTCTGCTTTATGAGTTAATAACTTCCTGTCCAACTGGAGCATGGAAATGCAGCTCTAATAACGAGGTGAAGTTGCAAGTCGCTTCGCATGAACTGCCAACAATTCTAAATGCAGACACGGTCCGTTGCCCTGCATGTGAATCTGATAGGAAAACTAGATCTGTCTTCTGAGTCTGCGTACCAAGTATGGGTAGGAGGGTTCATTCAAAATACCTCATGGCAGACATTAAGCATATACCACTAGATGACCCCTTGGAGCTCGGCAGAACATCCTTCTGCTGCTGCTTTCTGTCTTTGGTTTATTCTCCCTCCTGCTTCTTACTAGGGCTTCTGATTTTCAAAGCTGGAGTTGGCAGCCAGTCCCAACCACACAATTCAGATTGCAAGTGGGAAGCTGGGACTTTGTGCTGTCAAGATGCTGCTGTCTCTTGGATTTTAACAGTAAAATGCAGCGCTCAGAAGATACTTTCTAGCGGAGTATGAGATACCAATAACAGAACTGTTTAGGCCCGTTGTGTGTGTGTGTGTGTGTTGTGAGCGTAGAAAAGTCTGTCGCTGCCCTAAGGAGCTCGTGGTCTCCTGGGGCAATATCTCAAAGAAGTTGGTACTTGAGATTACCCCATTCGGGCATAGTTAGTTCTGTAACAGTGAGCCACCCTTTTGGCAGGCATGCCACAAATCAGCATGCCAGATCTGCTGCTCTGCCTTCTGCTGCCTGCCAAATCTGCTCTGCTTTCTGCTCCCTGCCCTATCTCTGGTTGTGCTGTCTGTCTCTTCCCTGATGTGCCGTATGCCACATTCAGAGGCTGCCGATGCCGCTTGTGACACCTGTGGCGCACGCCTTCTTTGCACTGACCTGGGTTTAGTATTAGTCGAGCCCTTGTGACAGAGGACAGCAAATCCATGAAGCGTTCCACAGGCAGGGAAAATATCAGTATTTCAGCATCTAGAAGATCATCAGAAATAAAGACACTGACACGTCGGCACTCCCTGGCCTGGTTGGCACTGCTGGCCCGTAGTCTGGGTGGGCTTGTTCTCCTGTATCCTTCCTTCTCCCTGCACAAGCCCCTAATAATAATTGATTAAAGAAGATTATCAGCTGGCTGATATTGCAGACCTGCCTGGAAATCCCAAGGAAGCAACAGCAAGAAATGTACAATCTCTGGCCAAACATGCCTTGGCTTCAGGCTTGCCCTTGGCTGTTTGGTGTGACGGGGACAGTCCATGACATACCTGTGGGTCTAATGCTGTTGTGGATTGTGTGTGTGCTGCAGAGCCTGAGCAAATAACCCCCATTCTCTCCCCAGGGTTGCTTTCTTCCCTCTCCACATTGGGGATCATGTCTTCATAGAAGAAGACTGCGTTGTCAACGCTGCCCAGATTGGTTCCTACGTTCACATAGGCAAGAACTGTGTCATTGTAAGTACCTTTGCTCAGTCTTGTCTTTACACCTATCATGTGCTGCCAAGGATGTGTTCTTCCTTCTCTTGCTGTCCTAGCATGCCAAGGAAATTCCTGTCCTTGTTTAAAGATGAATGTTCATTTAGGCTGGTGGTTTCTGTCCAGTGGTGTAGGCTCCGGTCCATCTTACCAAAGAGAACCTGTGTTGCTATGGGCAGTCATCACCTTGTTCACATTGTCCTCACTAGCTCTCCCTTTGTTCTGCCTCTTGGAGCATAACAGTTCTCTGGGGCAGGGAGTATGCTGTTATATTTGGAAATGCCATCTGATGGGAGTGCACTCGTGCAGGTATCACTACATGCCTTGGGCTTTTGGGGGCAATGAAAGGTGGAGCTCAGTGTGCGGAGCCTGCTGGACTGCTGCCTGTGCTGCTGCCTGTCTCCCATTTACCTGGGTGTCTCTTCTGCTCTGTAACAGAGCTTGGGTTGATTGCTCTGCTGAGCCCAGTGTTAGCGTAGGACACAGCATTTGCAGTTGGCTGTTAAATAACTGGTGCTGGCTGGTTCCTTAAAGGTCCCTGGCAATTATCATAGTGACATTCTCCTTGTCTGAGAGTCCCTCTTTCCTTTGTGGCTGTGAAGGAGAGAACTTAATGCCTGACTACGCTGGCCTCTGTTCCGAGGCAGCCAGCCAGAGGGGTTTGAGCAACCTCTGCCTGACATGACGCTGTTCATGCTCAGGAAGGCTACGTGCAGCAGAGCCCTGCTGCCTTGCATGCCCTGCACAGGGGTGAGGGGCAGCCTGGGGAAGCAGCAGCATGTGGCACAAAGTAATCCCCACTGGGAAAGTGGAAATGAGCCAGTGGCACGAAGAGTTGGAAAAACCCAGTAGCCCCTTGAAAGGCCTTCCTAAAAGCCAGTAAAAGCAGGATGCTGGGAACTGTTTTATTTTTCCCTTGTTGCTCTTTGTCTTCGGGGCAGTGGTAGTTCATAAAAGAGGGGATATGAAAGGCCCTTTAAGACCTGGAAGTTCAGTGCCTGGACAGGCAGCCACTTAGCACTTCTCCTGCTCAGGAGCAAAGCCTACTTCTACACCATCTGGCTTATCCCCCTTGGGGACTCGGGGTTCTTCCAGTTTCCTCTCTCCAAGAAGAGCTGGTGCAGGAAGGTAAGACCCCATGGCCTGCGTGTTTCTCACTTGTAGAGGACCGCTGTTTTGGAGACATCTCTCCATTTTGCAAATCAAACAGCTGGAAGACTTCAGAAAAGACTGAAGAAGAAAGTGGCTTGAATTGGGAGGCTCAGCAGGTTCCCCTCTGCCTGTGATGAGGGGCCAAGTAATGACGGATTACAACTGGCTTTCTCTGTTGGTTAGCAGGTTGTCATTGAGATTAAAGCGCAGCTTGTTATAGCATTGGAATAAATGTATGGAGCATTACTTGCTAATCATTTCAGGCCGATTGCCAAGGGTCCTCGAATATTGTGACTCTTAGAAGGGTAATGTTCTGAGTTTCATTAAGCATTGCAACATTTTGAGTCTAATCACCACGGCTTGCTTGACAGACGTGTCCGTTCCCTTTGCAAATGCTGCATTTGTACAAGGCGAGATGCTTAGTGCTTCCTGAAAATGGCTGTTTATCTTGGGGCTTTGCCTCATTCTTCTAGCCGTGTGAGAACAGTTGGGTTATCAGCAAGCCAGGAATTGCTGCTGTCTGGGTATCCAGGGGGAGAGGTTTTCACCGAGGAACTACTGGAGCGGGGACTCTGCATGGATAAGGCAATACAGTCAAGGCTATTTCTTGCTTAAATGGAGACCGTCTTGCTCTGTGACTATGCGATTGTGGTTATCAGAGCTGACTTGCCTGAGTGTATGTGTTGATGTGCAAATATCTCCTGTGCACTAGCGATGAACAAAAGAGACTTTTCACAAGAAATCAAAGCTTCCTGAGCCTGACGAAGGGTTTTTGAACCCGAAAGCTTGCTTAATAACTATTCTCCAACCATTTGGGTTGGTCTAATAAAAGATATCAAATTCACCCAAGGAACCTTGTCTGCCCACATTCAAGGCTGTTACTCAGAACTGCTGAACGCGACCATCTCAGTAAACGTGGCCAGCAACTGCATTTGCTGCTACAGCAAAGTCTTTGCACCAGGCTATCCCCAGGAAGCCAAATGCAGCGTCTGTCCTGTGGAACGTGGCTGGTTATTGTGGCCAGCCCCCTCCTTGCTCAAGTGCAGGAAAGGAAAAGGGAAGGCTACGAACTGTTACACGTGCCAGGTAGCTGGGGTGCCAGGTGGAGCAGCCTGGTTGAGCTGGCTCTGCCAATAGAAGTAAAGCAGCTTAAGCCCCCATGTGTGAGTGCAGGTTTATTCATATAAAACAAGCCTGTAGCTCATTTTGCTTCCCCAGCTTGAAACAAGCCAGGCTGCTCTAAGGCATGTGGATCAGGGGAAAGCAGCATCTGCCTTTGAACTCCTGCTGGCGTCGTGGCTGCTAAAAGGCCACCCCCTTCACTCACCGTGTGGCTGCTATAACTCGTGCTGTGCAAACCAAGCCCGGGAGGGCAGAGCTGAGAGGAGCAGAACTGGGGCTGCAGGCAGGCGTCTGGCTTCTTTCAAGCAGCTGATCACAGGCAGCCGAGTGGCCTTGGGGTACATCCCACTGGCAAAATCCATGTCTTGCTCCATGTGCCCATGTCTTTTGGTCCTTGTTTAGGGGCGGCGATGTGTTCTGAAAGACTGCTGCAAAATCCTAGACAACACTGTGCTACCCCCTGAGACGGTGGTGCCACCTTTCACGGTCTTCTCAGGCTGCCCAGGTACGCTCCGCTTCACGTTACTTTGCCAATACAGTTAGCTGGTTTATATGACCTGACTTTACTTGTATGCTGACTTTACGGTGCAGGTTGGCATGGAGAAGGTTGCTGTTTGCGCTGCACTCCAACATTTAAAGGAACAGGCCTGGGTCCTGTAGCTCGCTGCCTCAGGCACCACTAGGACTTGTAGTTTGGTTTGGGGGAACAACTGAACTGATGTGTGTGCAGTGCTCTCTGTCTGTCTTCTGGGACTGTTCTGCCTCATGGCAACCCTTTCAGTTGGGCTGTTCAGCATCCTGGACTCGGCAGGCAGCTGTATAGAGCACTCTCCTCTCCAGTGTGCTCTGGATTTTTAGAGCTGCAAGGAGGGCTGCTAGGTCGCTGGGGGCGGGCTGCATAGTTCAGAGCACCTCCCTCCACAAGGTGCACAGCCGTTCCTGTCAGGGTAAGCCTGCGGACTTGGAAGGGGAGCGGGACTTGCCGCTCAGGACACTGGCCAGCCATCTGATGGAGCTGTTGGTCTACCAGGGTTAGATGGACCAGTAGTTCATCAGGGTTGGAGTGCTGGTCTAATCTTGAGTGAAAGAAGGGCTTGTTCTGCTTATGCTGCTGCAGGAGCACAAAGGCACAGCAGCTACTGCCTGTCTGTTTACCCTGGTACCACGTCCATCTGTGCACACCCTAAGTCTGCGTGATCTAGAGCTGCCCATCCGTGCTGCAGGAGGTCTCCATAAACCAGTTGCACTTGTGCCTGGCCTCCAGCAGTGCTGTGATACTGCAACTTCTGTTCCCTTGTCAGTTTTCTCCCGAGGGAGGGGGAGCAACCGGGACCCCTGCTTCTCTGGGCTGAGTGCCTGCTGTTACAGGCCCTAGCTGGGGGCAGTGGCCTGACACCCATTTAACAATCTGGGAGGGGAATCTGTGCCTCCAAACTGATTTACGTGAGTGAGAATTCCCCATCAGCTCATTCAGTCTTGGTGTTGACCTTGCAAGTAGATGCTAGCAGAGCAGTGAGTGGAACGCTGCATGACGCCTCCATCTCGGCGCTTTCCGCGAGAACCCTCATCCTTTCACTCTGCTTGGTTTTTCAGGGCTCTTCTCTGGAGAACTCCCAGAATGCACCCAGGAGCTCATGATTGATGTTACAAAGAGCTATTACCAGAAGTTCTTGCCACTTACTCAGGTCTAGTAGCCTATTTACCACATTTCCCAGCAGTAAAAACCCTAGAGAGCACTTAGGGGGACGGAAGAGATGGTGTTCAGTGAGCCAGAGGCAGAACCTCTGTTATCGAGAGCAGGGCTACAGGCCTAGCAAGCAGTCCCTTGTGAAAAGTTGCTGTGTCACGTTGTCTAAACTTTGCGTGTTCATTCAAATGTATTCATTCCACACCGTCCGAGTGGTGCCATTAAATGTTCTGGGGCTTGGGGGGCTGTTATAGCTCCCTGCAGATCAGCACAGCCTGCTGCAGTGAAGCAGTGAGGTAAAAATAACTTCCAGGCAAAGCAAATCGTGCACGTCTGTTTTCAGTCCAGAAGCCCATGGGCATGTCCATGTGGCAACTAGAAACAACCTCCGTCCCAGAGCTGAAGTGCCACGTGGCCAGCATGTTCATAAGGGCCAGTCAGAGGGGACTCTGCCCCCAGAGCAGTGTTATGAAGCTGCTAACATGTAGTTTGAGGTGGATGCCCTCCTCTTTCATCTCCCCGTTGACCCCCCGTTTTCCCTGTCTCTTCTTCGCTAGCAGTAGGATATCCTTTACCTTCTTTAGATGGCTTCAGGCTTTTTGTAGACTTGCTTCCCTGTTTCCTTCCCCCATGGGCCCGTGGGCAGAGACTGCCTGAAGGGGCACTTGTCACCTCTTATTCTGTGTCTAGATGTCTTCCTCATATGCCATCTCCTGTGGGGCTTCTGGGGCTAGGCTAGGTTATCTATAGCGGACACCTGCGCTTTCACCTGAGCATCACAAGCCTTTGAAGGAGGCAGGTGGAATCGTGGGGAGAGAGTGGATTAAAACCAGCAGTGGCCAAGAGCACACTTGTGTGCTGGCAGAGTCCACTGAAGCTTCCCCCGCTGCTCTAGAGCCCTAAGATACGTTTCAGATGCAGCTGATGCACCAAGACCTGTTCCCGTTGTGTCGGCTGTTGGGTCACCTCCCACCCAGAGGTCATGCCCCTGCCAAGAATGCGCTGCCCGCTCCTAGCAGATTGCATTGAAACTTGAGGTCTGCCCCTTCCTTACTCCGTGTCATGTTTAGAAGTGGGGCTTCTGCATGTTGTGCTCTGACTGGGGAGCCGGGGTGCAGATGAGTAGCATAGCAGGCATGTGGCTGACAGTAGCAGGGAGCAGGCCTCCAGCTGTTCTCTAGCAAGTAGGGCTCAGATACACATTAACTAGCTACTAGCTGTACAAGTACTGAAGTGTGTAGTAATGACTGTTAATCTGATGTAAAGCTGCTGTCTGCTTTGTTTGTATTTTTACTGTACATAAATTAAAAGCCTCTTACATGGGTCAAGTGACTTGCAAGTTGGCACTTTCCAAATCCAAAGGCTCGGTTCCTGTGGTGGCCATGGGCATGTTTTCCCATTCTTCCTGTTCAGAGAGAGGCTTCCATGGTATTTCCAAGCATTTAGCATCAGTACATAAAAAAAGCAAAGCTCTTCTGTCTCCAGAAGCAGATTCCCCCGTGCCTGGCGTCCAGTTGACTTATGTGCTAGGTCACAGGAAAACACAATTCCAGGACCACAGGCAGGAAACTCTCTGCTGTGCTGTGCACAAGCTCTCCTCTCACCCACCTTTATGGGGTACAGCCCCGTAAATGCCATCAGCCCCAGGTGGGCAAACAGTTGCAAAGGCAAAAACCTGCCACCTTTGTCAGGTAGTGATTATTAATCCCCTGTACTGGCCCAAAGAGGTGTCTTATAGCAAATTCGAGTTCCCTGGACCCCATAGGTTTGACTTTACATTAAGGCGCAAGTGATGGGGTCGGATATTGGAATCCATTGGCTTGTCTAGCACTACCTGTCTGTGCCAGGTCTCAAACAGACCTCAAGTCTGATGTCAGTTCTTGGTTTAAGCCCAGTTCGAGTGGTGCCATTTTAACACCCCCGCCTACGCTGGCCTCTGCTTAAGGAATCCTGTCGGACTAGGCCTGGAGCCAAAAGTAGACGAGAGCTTCAGCAGCTTTACTGTGCAATTCTCCTCTGTTCCCTGAGTGTCCTTGTGTGGGCTCAGTGTGATGGAAGTGTGCCTTGGCCAGGGCCTGCTCCTTTCTCCCCTGAGCAGAGCTAGTACTAAGTCACAGCTGTTCCCTGCACATGTACTGAGGACATGGTGTCCTACTGCCTTTCTGCTGAAAGGATTAGTTCCTCCCCTGCTCTCTCTAATGCCTTGTCTGAGGAGAGCCAGTGGCTGCAGACACTGTGGCTGCCAAGCTGAGGCCTCCCAAGATCACACACCTGGGCAGGTAGGCTACTGAGAGAGCCTGCCAATTAAATGTTGAGCAGCTGGAGAAGCATCTTGAGTCGCCTTGCAAAGTTGCATCTGTGCTATCAGCGCTCTCCAACCCTCCAAGGTAGCTCTCCATGAGCAAGAGGAGGCAGCAGGAGGGGCCCATCTGTGCCGTGTCACCATGGTGTCACTTCACTTTCAACCGCACGTAGCACCTTTCACAAGGATGGCTTAGCTAGTGACTCCATTGGAGCAGCCTGGTGCCAGAGCACTGGGGCTGGGGCGGGAGGCAGAACAAGCGCAGGGTGACCCATTGGCAAGCGGGAGCTGTGGCTGTGGGGGTGCCTGGGGATCACGGCCAGTAGCTGTTTTGGTGAGCTACAGGGACTGCCGTGGGCACCTGAACGGAGCTGTGTGGTGCTGCAGCGTGTGGGCACGGCCGGCAGGGCTGCTTCTGTGCCTCTCGGTACGGGCATGGAGCCAGCGCACCTCTGCCTCCAGTGAAATCTGTTTTGTTGTCTTTAAGGTGGCCTCGGCCAGGGTCTGAGCCCAAGTCAGCTGCGAAGACCTCTCACCCAACACTTAAAATCCCTTAGTTTGGCCATTTTAACCTGCATCCTTCGAAGCGTGGCTGTCCCAGGCTCGTCTCCACACCTGTGCCTGCTGGCTGGGATGACAGCATGTCGCTGGGTCGCTGCCTGCCTCGCCAGCCCTTGGGAAGTGGTAGTTTCCTGACGTCCACACTTAGCCTCTCGTGGTTCAAAGAGGTTTTGCTGCCTAGATCCGGAGCACAAGGTAGCCGTGGAGCTGGCTGGCTTTGAGCACGAGGAGGACTGCGCTGTGCTGGGCACGGGGTAGGGGGACTCTAGTTCCTTGAGGCCGATGAGTTGTTTAAACCACAATAAACCCTCCTGCCCCTGTCACTCCATGGGCTAGAACAGCCCAGCCCTGTTGCAGATGGGAGAGGGCTGCTGGCCGCATCCTGCCATGCTGGCGGGGAACAATTAACACGATAAGCAGCACTTGGGACCACAACCAAGCATAGGCTTTAGGAAGCTGCCTCTCCCAGCTCCTGGGACCAGGGTCCCCCGCAGGCCCCAACAGTTGATTTCCTTTCATTTTACTAATTCCGGCTCTGTGCTGCATGTAACTGCTGGCTGTTTGCAGGGCCACATGGAGAAGGGGAAGGGATCCAGATCCCAGAAATATTGCTGGGAGTTGTCTCTGCTTTGCCAGGAGCAGAGCTCCCCAGGACAGCCCAGTGTAGCAGTTCGCCACTGGTGCAATGGCAGTGCCTTGCAGGCCCTGCTCCCTCACCCCTGCCCCACCTCTCGTGTGAGCCCTGAACTTTTAAGCCCCTTCTAGAAAGATCAGCAGCTCTAGCTCAAGCTACCAGCCAGCTGCGGTGTGGCTAAACTGAGCTGTGTCTCGGAGAAGGCTCAGCTAGCTGCTTGCCCAGGCGCAGAACATGCTGGCTTGGACTGCTCTGTCCCCTTCGTGCTGCTGGGAATGAACGAGACAGGCTTAATGTGGAGAGCAAAGCCCGCAAGGCCTGTTTGTAAACTAACCCAGAAGGCAGAGCTGGTGCTGGGCCCTGCCGCCTCTATTTAAAGTTCATGCGGGGAGTTCCCGGGAGCCAGGGGCTGGGCAGAGCCGCGGGGGTGTCACCACCTGTCCCAGCCCTGCCTCCTTGCTGTGACCGGGGAGAGGAGAGCCCCGTTCCCCTAGAGCACAAGTGTCTCCTCTGGGCTGCTGCAGCAAGCAGGCCTCTGGGCCTGGTACCCACAGCTACGGGGCACTAAGAAGGGCATGGTGTCAGCCTCCAGCCAGGCCATGCAAAGACCAGCCGATGGGTGTTGGAAGCCACCCAGCTCAGGGCACACATGCCTGTGATGAAAGCAGAGGCTTGCTGAGTCTGCCTCTGGGATGTTCAGGCAGCGCCTATCCTCCACCCTCAGTCAAGCATGGCGAGACTGCAGTGACACTGGACAGCAGAATACAATGGGCCAGTCTGATGCACGTGGTATGAAAGAACACGACTGTTAAACTCTCCTAATGACCGGGACCCTTCCTACCCAGAGCGCCAGCAGCATCGGTCCCCAGCACCGTGCGGGGTGCTGAATTAAGTGAACGACACGGAAACACCATCTACGCTCCAGTGCGTGAGGGAGACCCCTGTCACAACATGACGAGGCACACGTGGCCAGCGAGAGCAATGGGACCAGATCCCCATTCAGGCCGCGTCTGCTGGCAGCACAGCCACAGAGCACCACAAGAAACAGTGCGGGGTGCTGAATCACCAGCATGTCGGCTGCTCCGCTGCAGCTGCCCATGGGCGCGCTTGTGCTGGGCAGAGCTGGGGCGCTTATCCCTCAGCAGAACATGCACTTGCTGTGGGGCAAGCGTGTGCATCTGGGCAGGCCCTACAGTGCAGCTGATGCACACTCTTGATGGCACACTTAGGAGGCACACTTGCTGCCCTCGCAGGGATGTGGTCACGCTTCTGTACCCAAAGGCTCTGGCTAAGATTGCACGTGGCTTTCCCAGGAGAATCGCCCTCCAAAGGTGCAGCAGCATACGGCACTTGCCCCAGGGTAACCATTCGGCACCTACCATCCCTGTGGATGTAACCTGTCTCCCAGCTCCCAGATCAGGCATGGCACTTGTACCCAGCACCATGGGCACATCCAGTGCTGCCTCGAGCAATCCTGTTATGTTCTGAGTAATGTGGCACCTGTGTTCTCACCTGTGTATTCTCTTCATCTGGAGCCGTGTGCATGCCGGCAGCATTTGTGTACGTGCCTATGTGCTTTCCTGAACATTGCCTGGAACACAAATAAACTGGTCAGACAAGAACTCCTTCGAGGGGCTGGCTGCTGTGTTCTCGGAAAACCCATCCGAGCCCCCGACACTCGCGCACAGCCACACTCGCTCTGCCAGTGGGATCAGTGCCTCTCTTCCACCAGAAGGCAGCGTAGCTTTGCACCTTGGAGACAAACCACAGTGCATGTGTATATACGCATGTGTACAGACTAACCAAAGTGTGTGCACGTATGTGTATACACGCATGTTCCACCGGGCCTCTTGCAGCCGTCACCAAGCAGGCAAGGGCCTAGATCTAACGTATGCTGCCCTGTGCAAGCTGTTGAGACCCAGGAGAGCTTCGGTCCACAGCCCAGGGCTGACGTGAGCTCCCAGCAGGGTGGAGGCAGACGGCAGTCCCTGCTGTGTCTTGCTGACCTCAGCCAGCTCCATTCCTTCCCTGTTTGCTGGAGGCCGAAGCAGCAGCTTCCTTCTGGGGAGGAATGGGACCCACGTGACTTGTCTCAGGTGCCCTGGGACAGCATGAGCTTCTGGGCCTGGGCTCCCTCTCCAAAATGGCCATAGCCCAGACTGGCCTGCGTCTGAGGCCAGCGAGCAGGTTTGGGAGATGTTCGGCCAGAGCAGAAAGACGCAGAGGGGCGCTTTGTGCCCGAAAGCTTGGTGAGCTTCTCCCCAGCTGTAGCACGTCATCCGATGCAGCAAGACCTTGGCTGTCTGTGAAAGCTCACACCTCCCTGAACGAGTTTGAGTCCCAGGTGCCACCCTGCCCTACTTTCTGCCTGACTTCAGACTCTCCCAACCCCACCCTCGGTCCAGTGAAAGCGATCCCAAAGTCCTGGCCTCTAGACCGCCACAGCTGCTCCTCTCCCGCCCCACGGAGCCAGCCAGTCATTCCCATCCAGGCTGCCCTGCAAATAGGAATTGAAGAGGAACAGGAGGGCAGACACCTGGGGGAGCACGGTGGCCTGATCTGGGCAGGTTCTGCCCGTCATAGCCCTGGCATTCGCCTGCACTGGGGGTGCGCCACCTGGGAACGGGAGTGTCCAGCAGGGAGGGAGCCGGGTGCCAGACCTCTGTCAGTAGGTCACTAAGCTCGTTAGGAGGTTTTGCTCCGCGGAGGAGCCCGTCCCAGGCTGGTGCCCCCACCGCTGCGGTGGGGAACGGAGAGCACAGGCCGTGAAGGGAGTTCCCGTCCAGCACAGGGCAGCAGGATCCCATAACGATGCCTTCACGCTCTGTGCCCGCTGTTCCCATGTGACCTCCCTTTGTGCTTTGTCCCGGGGCTGCCAGGCGGTGCTGAAGCCAGGCCGCTGCATTCATGCGAGCACTGCTTGCTTCTCGCGCCCCGAGAGCGCCCGCAGAGGTAAACAGTGCTCAGCCACAGATCACACACCCTCCCGCCCCGGGGAGCCGGATGAGACAGGACATGCGGGCAGAGGGCAGGGCTGGCCATGCCCAGGGCGAATGCAGAAGGGCTTCTTTGTTGGTCTCCGTGGCTGCAGGACTGTCACAGCCCCTGCAGCTGAGCCTGGTGCCGGTGTCCCCAGTGCAGGGGCCAGCATCCTTCCCCCCCATGGGAGCATGCTAGGAGCAGCTTCTCACCCATGTTCCCACCAGTGCTGCTGCGATGCACCCAGGCAGGCCTGGCACTGTCACGGGGCCACAACACCCTCCTCCTTGGGCCCCACGTCGCAGGAAGGAGAAGGCTCGGCCCAGGCCTGGTTGCTCTGCAGGGGCAATCTGTTGCGTTATCAGCAACAGGGTGCCTGGCCCATCCAGGAGAGACCCGTTCACCCCTTGTTGCTCTGGCCCAGCCTGTGGCAGATGCACCCTCATGGACGTGGCTCCCCACAAGAGCCAGCCTCCCCACGGGAGGGAGCAGGGGGAGCTCCGGAGACATCACCCAACACACAACCAGCAGGCGCGTTCCTCCGATCTGGACACACCAGAGTGCATCCCCTTCCCTGCCGGGACCGTCCAGTCCCCAGGACTCGGGGCCAGGACTCTCACTGCACATGCTCCGGGACGGGGCAGCAAACCCGCCTGCTTGGCAGACGATTCCTGCCTTGCTTTGCAGTGCTGCCGTTGGGATGCCTGACTGCTCCTTGGGCTGCCATTAGATGCATTGGCCTGGCCTCGTTTCCATGAAGCGGAGGTCTCTGAGCTTTCTGTGCCGATCTGGGGTCCGGCCCCTGAGTCACGTCCGCTCTGGGAGCGGTGTCTGCTGCCAGACTATCAAGTTTCTGGGTAATGATGACTGTACGTTTCCGCTCTGTGATGCATTTGTTTTGACTTCAGCAGAAAGGCCCCTGGATAAAGCACCTGACCATTTCCAGCATGATAACTTCTGCCCTCATTATTCAACGTGTCAATATTGGTGAGATACTAGAAGCTGAAATGAAACCCTGTTGGGTTCGTGTATTTGTGCTGCGTGGTCCTTTCCGCATTTGCTTTTCGGGGGGCAGAAAGGCACAACATTGGCAGGAAAAACAAGTCGGGAGGAGCCCGGAGTTGTGGGAACACCGGGGAGAGGCCAAGGGGATGGGGCTGCCCTGGGCAGAGGCAGCGAACAGGGCACGGCTGTCTCGCCTGCCCCGTCCCTGGCTCTGCCTGTGCGGTGCAGCCCTGGCACCGATCGCCGAGAGGTTGTGGAGCCTCTGGGATGGGAGGTTTGCGCACGCAAGGCTGGGAGAGTTTGGACAGAGCTGGCGCCGTCTGGAGCAGGACTCGGGGGCGCGCGGCTGCCTCTGCAGGACAGCCCCTGGGGAAAGGCCCTGTCCCCGGTCCGGGGACCTACATGAACCCCCTGCTCCAGCTCCGAGTGGCGCGGCCTCCCTCCCCGACAGCCTCCATGAACCCCTGCCCAGAAACCGAAGCTGCAAGGTCTCCTCAGGCCTCCTAAGCTGCTCAGGAGTAACTGAGGTCTCCGACACCAGCTGGGAGCAGAGGAGAGACGTTAACATGCATGCGCCTCCTTTACCAAAAATAAGCCGGCTTGCCCTGGGCGCATCACGCCCGCAGCAGCCGCTCATCCACGGGACATTTGCCTCATCAGGGCTCAGCATCTCCTGCGGGTGCCAGGCTGCCGGGGCACGGAGCGGGGATCTCCCCAACAGCTGAAACAGGCGGGCACCCAGCCAAAAGCCACGGGCAGCTGGCAGCCAGCGACACCTTTGAAACCCCCCAAAGCTGATTGTGAATTGGCAGCTTTGTGCATGGCTTGCTCACCCCAGCCGGAGCCCGAGCCCTCTGCCCGGAGCGCACGATGCAGCTGAAATCCCCGGGGTCGCAGAGAGGCACGTCCCCAGTGCACTGGGCCTGGGCAGGGGGAACCCAGAGTGGGGGCAGGTAGTGCTGTGCCCGGCAGCCAAGGGGCCCTGGATGCTGAAATGCAGGATCTGACCTATGGGGCTGGGCAAAGCAGCTCCCCTATGGCCTGAGCCAGCCATGTCCAGCAGGAAAGGGCAGTTTCCAGAGCACGGCCTCATCTCCCCGGTGCCCGAGCAGGACAGGAGGCATCCCCGGTCAGACACATCCCTCCCTCGAGCACCCTGCGCTGCCAGGCACTGCAGCTCCTGGCACATGGCACCCAGCGCTCAGAGGTGAACTGGGGCCACAGCACGAGTCCTTGCCGACGTGGCCTCTGAAGCTCTGAGAAGCGCTGGCTGGTACCTGGGGGCTTTAGCTACATCACGCTCCAGGCAGATGGCTCAGGCTCAGTGCTGGGGGGTGGGAAGAGGCAGAACTGGGAGAGGTGAAACCCGAGCCCAGGTGGGAATCCATATGGATGGGGCAGCCCCCGCCTGGGGGATTATCTGTACCTTCGGGAAGGACACAGAAGCCACCTGCATGTTCCCGGGGCCCCGGCAGAGACGGGCTGGAGGGAGTCAGCCCGGAGCGGCAGCTGAAGCAAGGGAAGAAAGATGCAGTCCCGGCAGCGCTGTGTGTTTTCTGAAACACGCCTGGTCCTGCTGCGAGGGGGCACCCAGCACAGACCACTTGTCTACAGACCGTCGCTCCTCTCCCATGGCCAGAGATCCAAGCGATGGACAGGCCTCAGCTCTTCCTCTTACCAACATCGACGGGTAGCAGCACTGCAGCCATTTGGGGGAATTTGGGCTGCCGCGGGAGTGCGTCAAAAGCCACTTCACGGCAAACAGAGGGAGAAACAGCACGACCTGCACAGCAGGGCATGTCAGAGCAAACTGCAGGGCACATGCAGATACCCTCGCCAGGGCCCGCGTTGGGCAAGACGGCTCTCCTTTGAAGGTGAACTTGGCAAAAGCAGGAAGGGCAGGGTCCAGCCCCGAAGGGATCGCTCTCGCTCTGTGCCAGGGAGCAGCAGAGGGGCGAGGAAGGCTTAGGGACGGTGGTGGCTCCTTTAATCCATCCCTAAGACCTCTGCATGGGCAACAGCTGGGCAGCAAACAAGCTGTTGTTTTAATTGCCCGCAATAAAAACACTGGTTAAAATGACCATTAATGCCTGTATTGTGAAACGCCGCGTGCTAGAGCTTCCCACGCCTATTCTGTACACAGCCCCGAGCAGGAGCTTTGAGTCCATTAGTCTTTATCGCTCAAGGCGCACACACAATAAAAGGCCAAGATAAACACACATGCTTCAAGATGCAGCGCTGAAGCCATCCTGCAAGGTCCCTCTCAGCTGGACGGCTCTAGAACAGGCCCTCAAGTCCGGCTGTCCACAGCCAGAGGACAGCGCTTGCCCCCATCTCCCTCCTGGCAGGGGGTCCCACGCGAAGCCTCACGCAGGAGCAACAGCAGGGATATCGCCAGCGTCCTGCGCACCTCCCAAAAGCGTGTTCAGTGATAGTCTAAGCCCCCCTGGTCCAGCACGCAGCTTCGCGATGCAGTGCAGCAAAGCCCGGGCAGGGGCTCCCTGGATCACACCTGGTGTTTCAACACCACTAATAGTAATTTGCTGGCTGGAAAGAACTGCTGGCAGGTTTTGGAAACCCTGTATCCTCGCAGGGTCGGGACCCAGCCAACATCCCGAGACCCACCAGTGCATGCACA